ATGGATCGATCAATGTACAGATGGATGGATGATGGACAGATAGATCTGATATACTGATAGAGATAGATTGATAGATGATACATTGATAGGTTGATATTGACAGATAGATTGAGACATGATAGATCAATAGATGTGGATGATATATAGACAGATACATCGTAGACAGGTAGGAAGATAGATGTAGATGATAGACAAACAGATTGATAAACAGATGGTAAATAGATGGATGACAGTCAGACAAACACAAGGCTTCCTAGACTCCAGTCTGGCTGGCCACGTGCTCAACACAGAATTCCTCTTTCTCCTCCTTTCCACCTGAAAGCTGGGGGCCTGTCCTGCAGGGAACCAGACGGGTGTGGAACAGCGTCCAGGCTTTGCCACAACCAGAGTGGACTCATGGTGCCTGCAAGACTGGCCAGCAGAAAGCACACACACCGAAGAAAGCAGGACACCGGGAAGGGGAGAGGAGGTGGACGGAGGTGGGGAGGCAGCACGTCCAGGGGCCCCTGGCAAGAGTCCTGGGCACCCCCTGCGCTGCCTGAAAGCCACACCATCAGACAGAAGAGCGCTGAGTTCACCGGAAGAGGGGAACCCCCAGGTCCACGGTTTCTAAGAGGGGGAGGCCCGCTTTCTGTTTCCGGCTGGAGGACCCTCAGAGACCCGCCTTACTCGGAAGCCAGACTTGAATGCTTCATCATGCCGACCGCTCGAGAGGCGGTCAACGTCTCAGGATCTGGACCAGGGGAAACCCGATTCCAAATCTCCCTCAAGGCATGTTTGGGATTTCAGGAAAGAACACTCTCTCTTTTTTTTTCTGGCCAACCATCTGTAAAGTCCTAAATCGCATTAATTTATCTTTATCCAACAGGTACATCACCCAGCTCTACAAACAACTCCGAGTCCGTGTAGAAGACGAACAGAGTATCCTCAGGAGAGTGGGACGCTGAGAGACAGAACAGAGATCTCGCCGGACGTGCACTGCTGGTCCTTGTAGCCTGTGCTTTTACTCTTTGGAAAGCAAACCGAATCGTCGGCTCACACGCCCATCGCTGCAGTGGGAAAGTGCGGTGAGCCTGCACCCCGAGAGTCTGCCCTGCCACCCACCCCACCCCAATGCCCCATCCTAGGGGCTGACAATCCCAGGACAGGCGAGCAGGGGAGGGACGTGCCGGAGAGTTCTACTCACCCGGAGAGCATCTCAAATATCAGGATGCCGAGCGCCCACCAGTCCACCGCTCTCCCGTGGCCCTTGCTCTGGATGACTTCCGGGGCCAGGTACTCGGGCGTCCCGCAAAGGGTCCACGTCCTGAGGACAGAGAAGGGGGTCCACAGATGTCAGCCGTGCTTGGCGAAGGCATGCCTCGTAGAAGCACTGGATGTTACAGCAACTGAGGGGAGCGACGTGACGCCTTAGACCCCCTCACCCCGTGGAGAAGGACAGGAATGTGGTCTTAGCTGACACGTTCACTTTGTAGACACTCATGAGCCAAAACAGAATCCAAGTGATGGTCCTGGGGTCACGGCTGTGTCTTGTTCTGCGTGCTTGTGTTTCTGACTCAGAAGCAAAAAGCCTACAATCCTGTTTTCCCGTAAAGTGACGCATTCAAGGACTGAGTCGTGCGCCCCGTCTCGGGATGACCCCCAGGAGCCCACACGTCTGCTCCACGAAGCAACGGCTACTTGCGTCCTCCCAGGCGAAACTCAGCTACGTCGGAGCATGCTTCCCGCCTGCTCTGCGAAAGGCTGGAAGTGTTCTCCGTGCTTTGCAGGGTCCGCTGTCATTTTAGTATCGGGGGGTGGCTTTTGGAAATCCTTAGGTTAAGGGGCTCTGGGATGTCTGGGGTTTATACCAGTGGAGAGTTTGCAAAGGATTTCTCCCCTAGATGAGCTGAAACTTGCCAAAAATGTAGTCTTTAGCCCCACCTAGAGGACAGCTGGCCGAAAGCAATACATTCTCAGCAGCCCAGACGGACTCAGCAGAGAAGGTGATTTCTGATTCGTTGAGTGGGTGTTTTTTATTGCGTCCCTCCCTTCCCTGGGCTGCCTAAGGTCTGTGTTTTTTGCAAACAGATGGACGAAGCATTCATGCTTTTCCTTGCAACAGAATTCTCTTTAGACAGACTCACAGACATAGAAAACGAACTTATAGTTACTAGCAGGGAAAGGGGTGGGGAGCGATAAATTGGGAGTTTGAGATTTACAGATACAAATGACTGTATATAAAATAGATAAACAACAAGGTCCTACTGTACAGCACAGGGAACTATATTCAAAATATCTTATAATAACCTGTAATGAAAAAAATGAAAAAGAATATATACATATGTCTAACTGAATCACTCTGCTGTAGACTGGAAACTAACACATTCTAAATTGACTGTACCTCAAACAAAAAAAAGATGGAATTATATTCAATATCTTGCAATAGCCTTTAATGAAAAAGAGTATGAAAACGAATATATGTATGTATGTGCATGACTGGGACATGGTGCTGTGCACCAGAAGTGGACACATTGTAGCTGACTGTACTTCAATTAAAAAAATTTTTTTAACCCCTAAAAAAGTAGATGAAATGTGAGAAATT